TAAGAGGGTGGGCAGCAGAGGTGGTTGGTGGGCGGGGGGGGCGCCTAGTAACCTAGTCCTAGTAGTAGTAGTAGTAGTAGTAGTAGTAGTAGTAATAGTAGTAGTAGTAGTAGCAGCAGCAGTAGCAGTAGTAGTAGCAGTAGTAGCAGTCGTAGTCGCATTGCAACCACACTAGCGGTAGTGACAGAAGTAGGAGTACAGGTAGGGTGGGCGATCCAGCTCTTTTTGACATCCTTCGTCGGCGTTGTCGTCGAAGTAGTCGTATCAGTAGTAGCAGTAACAGCTGCACAGTCGCAGTTCGTAATGAGAGCCTTCGCCATCAGTTCATGGTACTGGAAGGGGCATTGCTTTCCCAGGAGTGGTCCACAACCTGTTAGCGGCCCAGCCGCTTGGTCGAAAGAAAACAGGTGGTATGGGCTGGCATTGTCACGTAGCCTCTGAACCCTGTTTCTCGTTCTTCTTGGCTGTTCTGTCGAAGGATCGCAATCTCGAGTTACCTAGAGTGGAATCTAGTTCTGTCAGACTGATTCGCCGAAGTCCAATATCGGGACGGGCACGGCCGTGTTCATCACTGCCACAATGTGAGATTGTTGGTAGAACGGCAGGTCCAGAAGCAAATGATCGGTGAGAAGCTCTATCCACTCGTTGCCAAATACCAGCCGGAGTGGGTGCTCTTCTGAGACATCAGGGCAGAGACTCAATGTGAGACTGCAGTCACGAGGCGGGCAAGATCACTGGGATGATGCTCGAGATGGACAACAGTGAATTGCTGATGCTCTTAGAGTCGCTCGAAGCACGTCAGTGACGTCAGCCACGCTGGCCGCTCGAATGCGGCCCAGTTGAGGTCCGAATCGCAGCTCCGTGGCAAGGTTGACGAGGCAAGCCGGAAGTGTTGTCATGGCATAGAGCGCAATCGAAAACACAATTATATGTGAGGGTCACCAAAGCAGATGTGAGGGTCACCAAAGCAGCCTCAAAGTTGATCTGTCATAACCCGAATCATGCCGTCACACCGAAAGCCCCGACATGTACGATGCTCCTCAGTTGAGGAATCCTCACTTATCCTCACGTAACGCCTGCCAAAAGACAGTAACAGACCGCGCTATGACCGGAGGCCGTTCGTGTCATCCAGTCCGCACGTCGCCCTTGAGCAAGGCAGTGAGAACAAGGGCAGTTTTGAAGCATGCTGTTGGTTGTTGGCTAGGAGAGGCCTACTTCTGTGTCCGACTCGACGACTCGGAAATGGCGGGCAGAAGGGTGCGCATTGAGAGGCTTCCTACTTTTAACGGGCTGAGCAAGCCAAGCTGCCATGTTGAAGACTGCCGCATCATGCTGCCATTTGGGATTGCTTTTCCTTATGCTGCGTTGTTGGTCCTGAAGTGCAGGTGGTTGCCGCAGATTGCAAGAAATTCTTCAAGGAATAGCCCCTCACAAGCACATCCCAAATTCAAGCGGACTGTTCCAGCTGTTGTCTGCCAGTTCGAGTCGTGGGAGCCTTGATAGATAGTGCCGCGGTGGTCAGAGCAAAGCACGCATCAAAATCACTTGATTCGAGGGGTCTTACCCCTGGGCATTTGCCCATCGCGAAAAGAGCTGGAGCTAAGTCTCATGCGCTGAGCGCAGTGTGACTACATTTATCGCTTCTTGTAGACAGGCGAGGCTTTGACGGCTCAGGACAAACACAAACCCACCATTGAAGTACCAAAGGTCTTTGCACAGCATTGAAACATTTGAAAGAGTAGGGTTTCCCACGGGGTGTTTCGTGTGCTTCATAGCCTCACTGGACTCAACTGTCAAGTGCACAGTCAAGGGACGAGGAAGGATCGCTGTGACAACTGCAGAGGGGATGCCGAATGATCTTCTCCGTCCTTCTATTTCTGACGCTGGGTTGAAAACCCTGCGGGGAATCAATTGAGGAGGTGGTACTGCTATACTAAACAAAACTTGCTGGCCAACGTAGTTGAAGTGCAGGATGCACATCGCTCCTCAATCATGTACTATGCAGCTATGCAGATATGTGGTGAAGCAGCATGACAAACAACTGCCTTGCAAGACTCAAGACATCGCAGCTTGTCTTTTGCTTTCACAACTGGCATGCGTGCATGACGGGGTGTAGGAAAAGCTACATCATGGTTGGTCGAGTAATTCAATCACCACCACGCGACGACGATCAGCATCCCAATGCTACAGCGACAGATTTTTTCATGCCACGGCAATGAGACTGCTTCGACCATCCGGAATTGAAGGTATGACCCTTGTCTAGTTAAAGGCCACGGTCCCACGTCAGGACTGCAGCAAGCTGGCTGGACCTGCAACGGCCTTTCAAGGAGATCATCAGCAACGTGCTGAAAGTCTCACAGGCTTCCCTGCAACTTATGCGCCTTCATGAAGTGACTTTAGCCCTCGAAAGTTCGTGAGAGTCGCAGTGCTGGTCCGTCTTCGCTGGGAGGGCTGGAGTAACAGAATACTGCAATTACATCGTTTTCCTCGTCATGCCCCACAACCAATGATCCATGCTGTCTCACTATTTCAGATGCTGGTTTGCGAAGGTTGTTTCCAAGCATAGGCGAGCCTGACAACGTGCCAGCAGTGTCAACCTATGCTGTGTTTTCTTGACACTCCATCGGACAGAGGCCCACGCGCAATCCGAACTTTTCCTGTACGAGGCATGTCCCGTGTCTAGCACTGCTTCGCACATCGGCTTGCATGGCTGGGATAGCAAGCTGTAGCGAGCAGCAGTGTCTTCGGTTTCAGGATGTCCAGCAAGTTGCGCAGCAGGTGGCACATAATGACAGAAGCGAGTGTAGTTCGATCTTCCGACAAGTACGGAAGGTTTTGGCATTTCACAACTGTTACAGCGAACATACTGAATATGTTTTAAAATATGAACCTTGGCGTGTTCCCTGAACAGGTGTCGCCTCTCGTGTCCAACATTCGCAACGAGTCACCTGATTGTGTGCTGCCGAAGAAGAAGTGCCCTCATCGCAGTTTGTCGAAACACGTGTTTCGGGGAATTGCTGGCAACGCTGCAGTGCCGGCAAAGTGTCAAAGGTATGACGAGAAGCAGCTGTCCAAAGGGATCGGTCGGTTTTTCAGGCCGAAGACTGACGCTGGATCCTTGCCAGCACTTTGTGCCGAACTCTACTGCTTGTGCATATAGCCCCTTGGTCCGGTTGGGAGAAAGCGACTAATGCTGTCCGTAGATCAATGATCCTGTGGTCTCAATTGCTGGCCTTGCAACGCAATGAACCGAGAATCGGGAAGGAAGGCACCACCATCCTCTGACCCGGGTCTCCGATCGATATTGCGAGCAGAGACAATTGCCCAGGCGAGTTTTCTGGGCAGAAGCGGAGCATCGATCAGGACAAGGACCCACAAGTAAAACGGAGTTGCCAAAATAGGAGCTCCGAGACAGTTTTTGCTGCATTAGATCCTGATGAGGACCAGGTTGACGACAAAGTCGCAAAGGTCATTCGAGTGGATTGAGCCCCCGGCTATGAGCAGCCGATATCGAGGACACATCTCTCGAGAGTCTCGCGAGCTTTAAAGAGTTTTCTTGAGTTAACAGGCCCAACCGCAGAATCGTCACTTTCTCAGTCATATGACGAAAAGCTTCCAGGGCCTCACATCTAACGATAAAGCATCTAACAACTTACGGATAGGCCAAATACCATCCTGATTTTCTCAAGACAAAACCAAAGGTCAGATGAGATATTGTCATAGTCTAATCTACGGTATGTGCGGTCTGACTTCATTCGGTCTCATTCCAAGTCCATGAGTATGCTTCCGTAGTCATAGCGAAATTTGAACGGACATATGATCTGGTAGACGTTTAATATGCTGCATGTTAATGGCTAGCAGCTAGAGCCAGTGCCGCCGACTCTCTTTGCTGGGAGGCCCCGCCTGGCTCGTTTGCAGGGTGACAGGTTCTCCTGGAGTCAATGGTTTAGCCGCCGCCTACTTCAGACATGGACAAGAGACGAACTCGAGACCGAAGCCCTAAAGCTTTAGAGCCCACTAGGCCAGTTATCAAGCTTCTGAAAGAACCGTAAGGAAGACGGAGTCGCGGGGGCCGGTGAGAGCTGTGGGGGTTGTAGGATACATGGACAGATGAATATTGAATGATAGATAATATGGAGGCTAGACGAGGTTTCCTTTCGAAAATATTTTTCAGAGATTATTTTCAAATAAATATTTCATTATATGGAAATAGTGAGAATTGTTGAATTGTTTCTTTATTCATTGCCATTTAAATGATATATATTTTTTTTCATTTATCTCTATGATTAATTAGTATTTGATTTTTCCTAATTTTTAGAATTTATTTTTTAATTATAAATTTGCATTTCGATTTCTTAAAACTATATTTTTATTATTTTCTATTAAATATATATATATACTCGATTCATTATATATAATTTGTCGAATTTTAGTAATTTTGCTTTAAAAATTTTTAAAATGAATTGTTTAAATATTGAAATTTTGTATGTCTAGTAATATGAAAATTATGGTTTGTATGAGATTTAAACAGAGATTATCTAAGATATATATTGAGTATTCGGATATTAAAAATTATTTAATTGATGGAAGATTAGCATCGAAAAAATTATATTTAAAAAGAAATGATAATAATTTTTTGGAGATGATTATAAAATGAAATTTATTTAAAAAAATGAAGATTATATGAATATACCGTCTATTTTTCGTATAATAATATGAATTTTCGGTCGTTATTATGTTTAGAAGATTTTCGATTTTATTTTTATTGATGCTATTATTTCGGAATATGAATTTAAAAAAAAACGGCGGGCGTGACCTCTTAGGTAGTTGGTATTCCCATTTAGGGATTAGGGTTTCTTTTAGGGTTTAAGGTTTAGGTTTCTTTTAGGGTTACCATCGGAGAGGTCACGCTGAATCTTAAACCCTGGACATATATGGGAACAACATAGCGCACCATCACATGTGGAATGTCGGACGACCCGGCACCCTTATTGCGACTTCTTCGCTGCCGGCTCCGACCGCGTGCCTGGTCGTTAGGTTGTTTGGAGATGACACATAGATATAGGGTTATTTCCAGAACCAAGTATTGCTACTGTTTGCTGGGATCGAGCATGTACACAAACGTACAGTACAGTATCGCGGATATTATGTTCAGGTGTTGGTTTGGGCAACTTACACAAAGCCTGAAGGCATGGGACACAGACTACGATCCAGTAGCAAGCATGTCTCGAGAATCCTTCACTCCTTTTCCCTCAGCGCGAAGCGCTAAAACCCTAAACCCTAGACCCCTCATAAACCCTAAACCCTAAACCCTTAAACCCTCAGGCCCTTATGTTACAGGCTCGTTAGGTTTGCCTCCAGCTCGGAGTCCAGAAACCTTTCAAGCCATGAACGTTCTCAAACCCCCACGGACCCCTAAACCCTACAAGAGGAGTATCCCTCTAAGCCCTGAGCCCGAACCCCTAACTCCTAAACCCTAAAGCCCCAACTCAAAAAGAGGTAATCAAGCCCTAAACCCGAAACCCTATACCCTTACAGCCCTAAACCCTAGCCGGCCCCCACAGCCCTAACGCCCTAAAAGCGTCATACGCCCAGGCTCAAGCAGCGGGAGCTTATCCGAGCTTCGGGCGCGCGATCTTGTCTACTAGATGCGCCTTAATAACTAGAATCGGGTTCCTGTGAAGAGGTTCTTTCAAAGGTTTGGGGGTTCAGGGTTCAGGCCCGGCAAAAAAATGTTACAATACGAAATCGTTTTGGAAATAGGAATTATGTTCGGAATTAATTTAAATAGAAATTCAAAGATATTAGCTTTGAGTATAGATATAGAAGAAATGGAGATTTAGAGCCGTAGAAAATGAAATATGGAATATTTCGTGATATGGGCCGAGGAAATAATAAGGAAATATATATTATAATTATTATATATAAATTGAAGAAAACTTTATAAATATTTAATAGAGATAATTAGATTGAAAAATCGAAAATAAAAGAAAAAAGGTAAAGGCCAAGCCAAAGAGATGGTAAAAGTAAAGATATAAGAAGAAGGTTTTAAAAAAATGTAATTATGAAAAAATATCAAGCTAAAATGATTAAATTAGAATAAAAAAAATATTAATATATTTTGAAATATTGATTTAAAAATAAGAATAATACTATATAAAATATTTTTTTTATAAATAATGGAAAAAATAAGAAGATTGGATATTTTATATATAATTATTATTGAAGAAAATAAAGAAAATAAAAATACAATGTATATTGATTTACTTGATATATTTGAAGAGATGACTTGAGAATCTTCGCTACGGAAGAAAAATTTTTTCTTTGAAGATATTCTGATCTATATTTTAGTTGAAAATAATGAAAACCTCACGAAAAAGATAAATTATGTTAATGAAATAAAAATCTAAAGACATAAAAAGGTTGCCAACAACAATGGAAAGCGAACTTGATTGAAATTCTAAATCTAAGCCGAATGGGTTTTGATATGAAAGAGCATTAATAAGAATAAATAACGAAATCGATTGAGATTCCAAATCTAGATCTCATTATCTTTGAAAAAAATAAAATGAGAATAATCTATATTCAGCATTTGATCTGCTCGAAGGGAACTTGGCTAAGAATATAGACTGCCATATGTTATTTTTTAGCAATCAAAATGAAAATTTCGAAAAAAATTTCAAATAATTTTTGTTATTGAAAAATTCTGTAAAAATAGATTGGTGATTGCCTCCAAGATCTAATTCGTATTGCAAGAGGTTCAACGAAGACAGATTTCAATTATGGAGCGAAGAAAAGGCAAAATAAAATCAGATATGAATCTGATTCAAAAGAAATCAAAACCAAAGAAATTCAAGAAAAAGAGGCCAAATAGAATCGGAGAAAAATGAATTTGATGATTAGCAAATGACAAGAGTAACAAAAAAGCATTCGTGAATGTATGGAGATGAAGGGATATTTTCTTTAAAATAGAGAAAAAAGAAAGGTCGAAATTGAAAGAAATAAATTAATAAAAAAATTGGAAATTTCAATAAAAACCCAAGGCTTTTTCTATAACTCGAACCCATAAAAACACGAGCTGATAAATCTATAAAGAACATATTGACGAGAAATGCATAGCAGTAAAAAAAAAACAAAAAAAACAATCTTGAAATCAGAAAAAGAAATATGAAATCAAATTTAAAGAATCTATTTTAATTTTACGAGAATAAATATAGAAAATGCAAAAAATAAATTTAATAGTCGTAATTTAATGAGGCAGCCAAAGCATTCCATAGAGGCTTCCAAATTTCAAAAGTAAAAAACAACAAAATCACAAGCTTTACATGCCCGATTCTAAAGTGAAAAATTCGGAATTGATTTGCCTGCAGGCAACAGTTAGCACCAAATTTCAATGACATTGCAAGTAGGCAATGGTTTCCCTTTCTTGGGATCTACAGGCAAGACCACTGGTCTTCAACCTACCTGACGTGCCATGGTCCGTCACATAAATTCTTTACATTCTGCACACCACTGTCAGGCAGTTCTTTGCCATTGCATTCGACATTTTCATCTGGTTTTGATTTTGAGTTTTTGTAGGTTCATCCAAGATTTTCTCTGTTTCTACGGTTTCCAACATGGCTTTTGTTATCGGCAAGCTTCTAAAAA